GAGGCCGAGCCCCCCAAGACTCGGCGCGGAAAAGCGACCTGGCGAGCAGCTACCCAGGCGTCGCCGTCGTTGGGCCCCGGGTCGCCCAGCAAACAAGCAACGAAGACCGCGTCGTCATGAGCGCGAGCATACGGAAGTATGTCTGCAGGAAGGACGTTTCGGAGCAGATGCTGCGCTCGAGGCGCGGCGCAGAAAGCGAGCAAGAGCCAGGCGCTCTGAGGATCGGGGAGGTGCCGGAGCTTGCTGAGCAGATCGGTCTCAACCTCAAGGCGGTCGGCGGCTTGGGCTTTCACGAAATCGGGGTGACCGATGGGCACGCCAAGAGCGACGAAGCCACGCTGCGCCAGAGGCAGGTTGCCACACCAGACGTCTGGGCCCAAGGCTTCGATGCCGGGTGGTGCGTCCCCGCCGGCGGCGTTGTAGACTCGCGTCGCCGAGGTTTGCCTCGACCCCAGCGCCTCGCTCCACCTCCTGGGTGACGACGCGCAGCAGTGTCGCTGCACGCTCCGGTATGGTGACGACGTAGAGGTCGTCCAGGAACGCAGCAAGGCGCTCGTCGAGCCGCAGAGAAGCACTCGCGGCAACCAGCGAATCGTGCTCACCAAACGCATAGAGCCCCGGTGCGAGGGGGTCTCCCTGCTCGACACCGTTTCATGTTGTTTGGAGGTCTTTTGGGTTGGTCCAGATGGCAGAACGTATCACAGGTGCGATGTGGAAGGTTCTGGACGGTTCTGGATGATGTGTTCATGGAGACGTCGGCTGAAGCTTCGATCAGCTGTGGCACTACAACGCGTATGGAAGCAGCAGAAACAAAAACGCGCTGCCACCTCGTTGTGTTCACGGTCGCGGTTGGGGGCCGCTGGGGTCCTGAGGATTGCCTACGGAGGTCGACGAAAGCTGCGTGGAAACAATGTTTAGGTTGGCCGACCGGGTAGTGACACAAGAATATGTGCCGCTGGTCTGGATGGCCGTGGGGGAGCGAGCCTCAACGAACACGAAAAAAATGCGTGCTTTCAGACACGAGGGTTGCAGCACTCTCCCGGCAACACGAACGCAAATAAATTGCCGTGAGGTGTCGAACGCCGTTCCCCCCTCCGGGTGACACTGACCGAGGACCCACAACAGATTAAATTACCAAAACTGCTCTTTGGGTGGGAGACCGCTCCCAGCATCTCCCAGCGGTAATATAAGCCAAGGGGGGGTGGTTTAGGGGTTGCGCGCAACCCCTTGGCCCGAAGGCCTACCCCCTCGCGGCGCGCTGGATCCATTGTCGGCCTAAGGCGCGTTTCCTTGGAATGTGCTGGTATACCCAAGCCCCCCAAAAAACACCCGTCCTAAACTGTGACCATAGCAAACCTTCCACACCCAACCTTCCTCAGGCTCCTCGCACGGGCGCGAGCTGGGCGTGCGCGCGTTGCCGTTCGGTCGGCTCTGCGTGCGGGCGGCCTCTGTGTCTCGCAGGAGCAGCATCATCTCCGTCGCAGCGCAACTTGTTTTTCAATGACATGTCACATTTCGAAATCCTCCATCTTGCATTGTGCGGAATTGGGCCTGGCGGTGATCCAAAATCTGTGTAAGCGCCGTTATGTAAAGCCGGTTCTGTTTCACAATGCTTGGAAGCTCTTCTGCGAGGAATGCGCGGCGGTGCCGTCACTGTGGTACCGTCGAGGACGCCGCGTGCGCCTAACAGCAGCAAGAGTCCCGAAACAACCGCCCCGCGGTCAGCAGCTAAATATGTACACAAAAACGAAGTGAGACATCATGCTGCAAGAAAGCAGCGCAAGCACATGTATAGTACACAGAAATGGCAGACGATGGCTACGTCAGAGCCCTAGGCCCTCAAGCAAGGATCGCTGCGCTTGGCAAATGCCAGCAACGAGGGCACATTAGCATGCGTGGATGAAGGGTATTACCCATCCCATGCGGGGCAAAAATCAACCACAAGAGACTGTCATCAGACAGCAATTCCACGTCTACGTCGTAGTTGTGCGACTGCATGCGTTGCAACCATATGCTCCTCAAATGCTGAAACAGAGGGCAAGTACGAAGGGCGTGGACGAAGCTCCAATCAGCAGCCAAGTTGCGATGGCGCGCAACACGGCCATCCAGGAAGGGATGGTGACCGCACCTAGCTGTGTTCTTTTGTGCACGGGTTTCGTTTATGCACATCTGTGGTAACAGAGCGGACGTAGGTGAAATACCGACAACGACGAGGCGGCATCGCCGGGCTGTCGCGTTTGATGTCGCTTACGGCGCACAGCAGCAATGACAGCGCAGCCGGGTTCGACATCGGCGCGGGGGGTGAGTATGGTGAGTCTTGCCAAACCGCGTCGATGTCGACGCGATAATGGCATTGCGGGTGACCATGATGGCGGCCTCGGGCAAGTTCGCGCCACAACCAGAGGTGCCTGGCGCGGGTAACGGGCTCCAGAGGTGAGACTGTTGTTTCAGGACTCTTGCGTGTTGGTGTCTAGATTTTGAAGTTGTGTCATTATTCGAAAAGCTGCAAAAATTGCAATAATGATTTCGAGAAATGTGCCAAAGATTGAGGCTTGAAGCAAGAGCTGAAGTGACACAGGTTCTCATTTTGCACATGGCGCTTCGCCATTTGTCCGACTGCGTCCTGCGACGTTTCGCCGGGAGGGCACCTGAGCTGGACAGGGTCTTTGGCCGGGCAGCGTGCATGCAAAACGGAAAGGGCATCTGTCCGGTTTGTGGTTTCGAGGTGCTTGCCACCCAAAATTGCCGCGACCTTGTCCACAGCATCCGGCGGGGCGCCTCCCAAGAACGATAGCAGTGTGTCGCGGAGGGCCGCATCGTGCGCTGCAGCATCGGGTGCGACAACGTTGCTGTGACGATGGCGTGATTAGCCAGTGGGCCGCGCACAGGGCCAACAGCAGCCATGAAGCCCCGTCAGCGGCAATCCAGTGTCGGCCAAGCAGGAAGGAGGTCTCAAGTGCATGACGGCCCTAGAAGGTACGGTGCAGCGTAACTTGGATCGGTTCACATGCCAGCATATGCCAGCTACCCTTATCAAACTCCGCTAGATTATCAGACATGTCAGGTCACAGCGTCAGCTTCAAACCATAATGAGTGTACATGCGGCAATCGCCCGCGAAGTGCTGAGCCCGCCGGCGCCGCGTCCAATTGAATTGAAGTGTCGTCGTCGTCGTAGTAGTAGTAGTAGCAGTAGTAGTAGCAGTAGCAGTAGCAGTAGCAGTAGCAGTAGCAGTAGCAGTAGCCGTAGCCGTAGCAGCAGCAGTAGCAGTAGCAGTAGCAGCAGCAGTAGCAGTAGCAGTAGCAGTAGCAGTAGCAGTAGCAGTAGCAGTAGCAGTAGCAGTAGCAGTAGCAGTAGCAGTAGCAGTAGCAGTAGCAGTAGCAGTAGCAGTAGCAGCAGTAGTAGTAGTAGTAGTAGTAGTAGCAGTAGTAGTAGCCGTAGCAGTAGTAGCAATAGTCGTAGTAGTAGTAGTAGTAGTAGTAGTCGTCGTCGTCGTCGTCGTCGTAGTCGTCATCGTCGTAATAAGCACTCCGGCTCAACTGTGTCCCCAACAGCGGGGCTCCTTTTCATGGAGGCAATGGCATCTACGCCATGTAGCAAACCTTGCGGAGGAACCCTGCTCAGAAGCGCGATGGTCACATTCCTAGTGCAGCTAGCCACGCTAGCGCTGCGGTCGACGCTCGCCAGCTGGGAGCCTCTAGGCCCCAACGAACGGTGCACGGGTCTAACAGATGCCTCTGCCCTGGCATGCCAACGCGTCGATCTCCCTGCGCGACAGCCATACCAGCATAGACTTCTGCGACCAGAGGACAGCCACTTCTGCCTTCCAGTGTCTGTGGGCACGCAGCGCAAGCCCCGTCGCAGGCAGTTGGCTCAACGTTCTCTGTAGCCCACCCGCATTCCTCCTGGGTGCGTGCCATCAGGCCGCCCCATTGAGCGTCTCGCTATAGATAGCAAGCCCGGTCCCAAGTCCGCGGTGGGATGCCGACTGAAGACTCTACTTGTATTGCTACATTGTCAGGTGTCGCACAGTGTGAGGGTTCCAGCTTTTTCCGTGAGAGCTGGGGAAGGCAATTCCTTAGCCTATCAGCGACGACCTCAGGTGCCGAAGCTAAATGGAATTCAAGTCACAAGTGGGAAGCAGGAACATATTCACAAATGGAATCGATATGTCAAGAAATCCTTTTTGCGAGCTTGTAACAGAGCTATTCGACATGGACATGCGCAACCCGTGTACCTGTGTACTACACCTCTGCACACAAAGAAAAACAATGATAAGATGCCACCAGAATGCCACAACAGGTGGCTGTAGTGACTGTCAATAGCTCTACCACCTTCTTCACGTATTCCTCGTCCTCGCATTCTACTTTAATCTGATTTTGCACTCTATTGATTGAGTGCATGGATGCACTGCTGCACCATTCTCTTGACTGCTGAGTACGTGTGAAAGCGGTAGTAGTAGTTGTAGTAGTAGTAGTAGTAGTAGCAGTAGCAGTAGCAGTAGTAGTAGGAGGAGGAGTACTAGTAGTAGTAATAATAATAGTAGTAGTGGTAGTAATAGTAGTAGTGTAGTAGTGGTAGTCGCAGTCGTAGTCGTAGTAGTAGCAGTAGTAGTAGTAGTAGTAGTAGCGGTTGCAGTAGTAGTACTAAGAATAACAATAATAGTAATAGTAGTAGTAGTGGTAGTAGTAGTAGTAGTAGTGATACGTAAAACTGTTCATGATGTAAACCCTGCATTACCCATAATACGGAAATTTACCATAGTCTGGGGTCATTAGTCGTAGTAGTAGTAGTAGTAGCAGCAGTAGTAGTAGTAGTCGTCGTAGTAGTCGTAGTCGTAGTAGTACGAGTATGGAGCGAAGTAGGCACCACGGTGCATGCTACTCGGGCTTCTTTTCTCGATGCTCAAAAGGGCTGCAATAGGTTGAGTCAGTTGCTCGAAAACGTCATCACCCCCCTCAGCACTTTTGCTGCATTGGGGTACCGAAGTGGCTCAAGCCCTTCAGTCGATTTTCTCATACTTCTGCACCGTATGCCTGTGGCAATACTCGCAGATCGGAAAAGTTCGCACTGGTCGCCCCTGTACGTGTGGGCAACTTGACAAAGTGTGCATTCGGCTCCCGGTGCGCAAGATGTAGGGCCCCTCGATCTGGGCCACGGGGTACACGTCTTCATACACCCCGACTTTCTTCTTCTTCTTAGGCTTGCACCACCACCAGAGCAAAAGCACAATGCTCCCGATGATGCAACAGAGGGCCGTCAGGATCACCTTGGTGTAATCGAGGTCCGCGCTCAGGTACAGCTTGATGTTCCCGGCCCCCCCTGGCTGGAGGCCCTGTCCATGTGCCGTGCCAGTCCCAGCTGCCAACAGAATGGCTGCCAGGGTGCCGCCGCCAGCTGTTCTGGGCACTCGGTTCCGAACGCTTCCAACCAGCATCCCACAAAGAAGGGTTGCCCTTGCTGCCTTCTCAACCGCCTCGTCGTTGATCACCCCCAGCAACTTGCGAAGGATCTCGAACCTCGCCGCTGCCATGCTTTTGGTGTGGATGTCGCTGGGGTTCGTCTCGGTGGAGATGGCATGCAAGCTGAACTTTTTTTCCTTCAGGCCCTGCTGCACCCAAAGTGCCTTGGTCTCCAGGTGGCGTATCTTCCCCACGCCCTCACGTTGATAGACGCCCTATCCAGCCACACGCGTAGCTTGAGGAAAACCCTCAAGAAGTCAAACACCTCCTTGTAGAAGATGCCCTCGCTCGTCGCCATGACCCCGCCGTTGAACTCGGCCTCGCCAGAGCTGAGGCAGATCATTGCCAAGCCCCGGCTGTAGCTGCCAACCAAGCAGCCGCCCACCATGAAAACTCCACCTGCGCAGCTTTTCCGGGTACGCTTGCAGTTTGCCCAGTCGGTCGGAAATGGCCTCCAAGGTCTCCATCTCCCCGTCCCTTGGCAACCACACACCCATGTCGCAGGTCCCCTTCAAGTAACGGGCCAGGCGCCTTAAGGAGTTCATCGCCTCGGCCGTCGGCTGCTTCATGTGCTTGGTGAGCTCGCGCACTGCGTGTTGGCAGTCTGGCCTGTCGAAGGAAAGGTACAAGGCCTTCCCCACGCAACTCCTGTACTCAAACGCTTTCTGCTCGTCGAGGAAAACGTCCGGCTTAAGGTCCTTGGTCTGGGCCTCTGGAGTGGGTGCCGGGTTGGCATTCTCCAACCCCAGTGTCTTCAGCATGCCTGCAGGTACTTCGGGTTGGCTTTCACCATCATGCCATCCTCGTGGACCGTCCTGATGCGCTTGAGGTGCTCGAAGGTGTCCCCTGGGCGGTGAATTTTGTACTTCATCACAATCTTCTTGCTCAGGCTTTCCAGGAACTCTGTCGCCTCGCGCTCGGGGGCTGTGCTGTAGAAGTCGTCCATGTGAACTTCCATGCTTGCATCCCTGGCCGCATTGTAGAAGAACCAGGGTGCTGCCGCGCACCTGTCGAACCCTTCGGTTCCAGCTTGCTGGGCTGCCCAATCCACGAAGCTTTGCCCGGCGATCTGCCGGCCATACCATTCCTTCTTCAATTTCCAAACTAGCCCGTCACACGGAAGTCCTTGGGCCCGGCGCTGCTCGATCCACTCGGTCGGGGGCCACAAAAAGACCTCCTCTTTGATGGGCACCTGCCAGTAAGCATTCTCCGCGTCGGCAGTGAAGAACACATAGCCCTTCTTGACCCCCACGGTGTCGATCACTCGCGCCGTCGCCTGGGAGGAGGCAACCGCGAAAACATCATCACGCTTCTTGCCCCGCTTCAGGTCTCTCAAGCAATAGCGGCACTTCACTTCCCCCGTCGGCCGGCGAGTCACGACCCAAGTGCTGTCGAGGATCTTCTTGCCTTCTGCTTCAGATGCCGGCCGGGGCTCGTAGGTGTCGTACTTGTCCATCTTGCTGAGCTCCTTGTTCTTGCCCTCTCGCACCTCCTGCTCGTACTCTGCCGCGTCGGTGTCCAGCTCCTCCTCATCGTCCTCGGCCCAGTCGTCCTCGATGTCCGGCTGGCCCACCTCGTGCTCCTCAAGGTCCATATATAGGGGTGTACAAGGTGGCCGCCACAACGCCTCCAATGCACAAGCGTTTGCTCTGGTCGTCGACGTCCATGCTCGCATCCTCTGCTGCTCGCTTCTCGCTGGCTCCTGCTGGGTCTGCTCCACTGCTGGCCTCGAGCTCTTCCACGGCCTCGGCTGGGACACGCTTAACTCCAGAACCTGTCGAGACAGACTCTGCTCTGATCTTGGCATCCTCGGTGTCCCTGCGTTCCTTCTCCGCCACGTCGCGCTCCTTGCGTCCATGCTTGGCTGCCGGCAACTTCAACGGAGTCTGTCTGGTCTGTGGTCCTTCTGCCCGGTCTGTCTGTGATCCTTCTGTCTGGTCTGTCTGTGCTCCTTCTGCTCGGTCTGTCTGGGACTTCGGTGTTGCCGCCCTCACCGGCGGTGTGCCCGGCACATCGCCCGGCGTTGGTGGAACAGCAAGGTCTGCTCCCCTTTGGCTCGCGGTGTGCTCTGGTGTCTCCCCGGCTGCCAAGGCTTCCCGGCCGCCCGTGGTGGTAGAAAGTCGCCGTGGTCCTCGAGGGTTGTTTTGGTGTCCCACGGCAATCCCATAAAGCCTGCCATGAGCTCTTTCCCGGCACGCTGTCCTGGAGGAAGTCGCCGGAGGGACCTCGCAGTGTAGACGCCGTCCTTGGTGCCGAACAGGTACTCCGCGGACTGCAAGGGCGCAGGAAAATCCCTTGGCGCCACAGGCTGTCTCCTTTCAAGATCCGCTTTCTCCCTTGCACCGCTCCTGTCTTGCTTGCTGGCATCCTGAACATAGCCGTCTCGCCGAAAGGGAGGATATCCCCGGTGAAGGTTGTGTCGAAGGCGTCCTGGTAGGCCGTGCGCCCGTTGGCCTTCACCCCGAAGCGGCTCCGGATGAAGCTGGCCCACCGCACCATCCAAGGCCAAAGGTTGTGGCCCGGATTCAAAGCAAAGTTGTAACGGCTCTCGACGTCGTACCTTAGGGTCAGCACATCTGTCTTCAAGGTGTGCTGGAAGGAGCCCACGCCGCCCATTGATTGGCTTGAGTACCTAAATGCCGTCTCCAAGGTGGCCCGGATCCCTTTGGCCCCGACCATTGTGTCGCTCCTGAGGGTGTCGGCCAGCCTGCGGGCAATGTTGAGGATCGCTGGCTCGCCGTCAGTCCGGATCGTCACCTTCACATGGCCCAAGTTGGCGATGAACTCGCCAAGCCACCGGCACACATACCCAAGGTCGTGGTTCTTGGCTGGCAAAGAGGCCGCCGTTGCCATTCCCGTGGACTCGTCCCACGCACTCAATATAACCTCCGCAGCTTCTCCCTCAGTGGCCCGCGTGCCGTCGGTCTTGAGGAAAGAGTAGTCGATCTCCACGCGTGGCCGCTGGGCTCGAAGGTCTAGAGTCTAGCGGCACCATCTTGTGCCCGACATCCAGAGCAC